TCTGTACTCATCTGTAAAATGCAGTAATAGCATTATTTATAATAATTGTAACAATTATATAATACCTAATGATTAATAGCAATTAATTAATAGTAACAAACCTTATAGATTATTGTGATGATTAAGTTAGTCCCTATAAAGTGCTTAAAAGATCATTTAAGTATTCATTAGTATTACAGTTTTTTCTTTCCTATTTCACTATTTCAGTACCCTGATGGGGGTCTCCTCCTCCTGTTGCTGTCCTCCATCAAGCCTCACTTGTGTCTTGAGAGACCTGATGTAGGTGGTATTCCAGCTCTGTACTCATCTGTAAAATGCAGTAATAGCATTATTTATAATAATTGTAACAATTATATAGTACCTAATGATTAATAGCAATTAATTAATAGTAACAAACCTTATAGACTATTGTGATGATTAAGTTAGTCCCTATAAAGTGCTTAAAAGATCATTTAAGTATTCATTAGTATTATAGTTTTTTCTTTCCTATTTCACTGTTTCAGTACCCTGATGGGGGTCTCCTCCTCCTGTTGCTGTCCTCCATCAAGCCTCACTTGTGTCTTGAGAGACCTGATGTAGGTGGTATTCCAACTCAAGGTACCTTCTTTATGCCCGAGATGGGTGTCTTCCCTGACAATCGTGCGATTTTCCTTCCCCATGGAGGGAAACAGCTGGCCTCTACCAAGGGTCCCAGCGCGACTCCTGTTAGAATCCTAGAGCCTCCAGCCAGCCTCCGGCAACCAGCTCTAGCTTCCTTTGACTACTCTGCCTCCTTCAGTCTGGACCTTGTCTGGCTCTCTTGAGTTACAAGCCCCTCCCAAAGATAGCAGTCCCCAAAGTGCACCCCTTCTCGATGCTTCTACAAAAAGGAGGAGAGGGAAAAAAGATGTCAGAGGGGAGTATAACATTCCTTGAAACTGGGTATGAACCCTGCATTGGCCATTACTGGGGTGTTTTTGGTTTATTTTTTGGCAGCTGGCTGGTATGGGGATCTGAACGCATGACCTTGGTGTTCGGCCATTGCTGTTTGACCTTGGGCAGCTTTCTAACCCTCTGGGCTACAGCTTCATTATTTGTTTCTCCCTGTTATGGACTGAGTGTGTCACCCCCAAATTTCTATGTTGAAATCCTAACCCCCAATGTGATAGTAATAGAAGTTGAGGCCTTTGGTAGGTAATTAAGTCATGAGGGTGGAGCCCTCATGAATGGGAGTAATGTCCTTATAAAAGAGACCCCAGAGAACTCTCTGATCTTTCCACCATGTCAGGACACAGCGAGAAGATGGCTGTGTATGAACCAGGAAGAAGGCCCTTACCAGCCACCTAATCTTCTGGCACCTTGATCTTGGACTTCCAGGCCTCCAGAACTGTGAGAAATAAATTCTTGTTGTTTAAGCCACCCAGTCTACGCTGTTCTATTATAGCAGCCTGAACTGACTAGGACATTCCCTCTTCCCATTTTCTCTCACTGTAAAGTGCGTTAATTTTCTGCTTGGAGATCATTTTCCTCTCCTTTGTATCTCTATTTGACCATGATCTGGGTCTTTCGAAAATTGCTCCACTGATCTCATCCTCACATACCTGGCTGATGAGGACAGGTATCTGCAAATGTGGTTCCAAGTAAATCCTCCCGGATAGCTAAAAGAAGGTCAGGAAATGTAATAGTCTTTAAATGCAATTAACCTGTCTGCCTGAATGAATCCCACTTTTAAGAATACACTGTGTTTCTGGAAAGAAAGTCAAGGTTAACATGAACCCTCTAAATTATGATGAGACTAACATTTTTTTATGATTCCCTTTATTCCATATAGCTCCCTTTTGGACCTGCTTTTGAAAAAAATTTTCACAGCCACTGGTGTTAGAATCTAAAGGTTAGAGCATTGGTGAATTAATTTAGTAAATTTTAGAGCAGTTGCCAACATGTATTTAAGTCCTAGTTACAGAGTATGATAGTAAGAATTCTAGACCGGGCATTTGGGGACATGAATTTCTTCCTTGACTGTAATTTAGTTCAACAGACATTTATTGTCCACATGCTAAAGGCTGAAGGACTGGGCAGTAGTGATGCGGCATCCCATTTGCTCTTGTCCTTGATGCCTGCATCAGGGAATGTTGGTTGTCTTCTCTTCATCCTCCACTTTCTCTTGGCAGGTCTTCTTTAGTTCAACAGACATTTATTGTCCACATGCTAAAGGCTGAAGGACTGGGCAGTAGTGATGTGGCATCCCATTTGCTCTTGTCCTTGATGCCTGCATCAGGGAATGTTGGTTGTCTTCTCTTCATCCTCCACTTTCTCTTGGCAGGTCTTCGTCTTCCTCCTCTGTGCCTCATGCTTGCGGGGAAACTGAGTCCTGACTAGGCTAAACCAGTCATGGTGCTTTCAGTCCCTTGACAGTGATTGGATAAGGCATAGGCATGTGACACCATTCTGGTCAGTGAGACCTGAGTGGAAGTCCAGTGGGAGGTTTCTGGAAAAGATGTCTGTACTATTGTAGAGACACAAGAAAGATAAGACACCTGTTCTACATGGTTCAGGTGTGGCTGGGAGGCCTGGAATTGGAGCAGTCATGGTTTAACTGCAAGGGGAACTAGGTCCACATGATCAGGATAGCAGAGCAGAAAGATGGAAGGCACCTGGGTCCTTGCTGATGCTGCCAAGCCCTAAATTAATCAGCCACCATTCCTCTGGATTTCCCTTGTGGTTCAACCCACTCTGAGTTGGGATTTCTGTTGTTTGCAACCAAGAATTTCCTAAATGATACATTCACTCACACTGGAACTTGCTAACTAGGGAGGGAGGCAGACATGTAAACAGCTCTCTTCCATCACAACTGGGCTACTGGGGAGGCAGTGTGGTTTAGTCTTTTGGAACATGTGCTCTGCAGCCAGGCTGACTCTAGCACTCAAGAGCTGTGCCACTTTGGGAAAGTCACTTAACCTCTCTGGGACTGTTAACTCATCAATAAAATGGAGATGATAATTGCACCTGCCTCATTATTGTGTGGATCAGATGTACCTTAAGCACTTGGTAAGTGCTCAATAAATATTATCAACTGTTATAGCTTTTATGGAAATAGAAAGCACATGGGGCACAGAATAGGGAGCAACACGTTATGCCAGGGAAGTCCAGGAAGGCTTCACCCAGGAGGCAGAAGTTACAGTGAACCTTGAAGGGCAAGTGGAGGTTTGCAGGTGACAGTCTGGAGCTGAAGGACATTTAGGCAAAAGTGTATGAGCCCAGCAGCCATCTGCCCACAGGCAGATTACCACAACTTTCGGGAGCTCGATTTCTTCATCCTTGAAAGCACTTGAGTATGTTGGATCAGCTTAATCCTCTTTTGATAAAAGAAACTAATCTCAGACCCTCTCCCTAGATTGGAAGCAGCAGATCAGAGACTCTCCATGGCCCCTTCATCACTAACCTGTGATTGTCTGTCTCAGCCCACCCTGAAGAAATTCACACAACAAGCATTTCCAGTGAAAAGAGGTGACTCTCATTGGCTTTGTTGATTTTAGTTCTTCATCGCCGCCCAGAGCTTTATGCGGTGTGCAATTAGCAATTCTGTGCCTCCTCTGCTTCCCAGGGCCCCACACATCTCATCAGTCAGATAGATGCTGAAGCTTAATTAAGCTTGTAAAGCTTTCTGATTTCCTCAGATGAAAGGTGGCCCATAAGCACCAGGTTTTTTTTTTTTTTTGTAGGTGGCTCCTGCCAAGGGTTATTATAAATAGGACTTAGTGCAATGTGGCTGAGCTCTTAGGGTGATAATGTGTCAAGACCAATCGAGGCTGCTAAGAGCAGAGATATTATCATAATGGTTCTATCATATGCAGTAGGTGTTAGTGGAAGTGGTTGTGAGAAAACTACTGCAGGCAGTGAAGCTGGGATAGAGGTGGCTGCAAGTGAAATATTGGTTGCTCTTGGAATCTCCATCATAATCATTAACTATTTAGCCTTGGAGCCTTTCTTCTGCCATCTCTTCTAGACCAGGCTCAAACTCAAATAAAAAATGGATGCTTTAACTCCAAATGAAAATATATTCCTTTGCACCTTTTTAAAATCCACTTACATTAAAATGATGGCCAGCAGGTAAGTAATTTATAACTGGGGGCTCACTGCCAGTGCAGATGAGTGGCATCAGAACAGTGAGCAGTCTAAGTGGGAGACCAAAGGGCTTTCAGACCCAGGAAAGGTCATCTCTGTTGGACTGAAAAATAGCTGGCAAGAATAAGAAAAGGCAAAGGTTAGCTTATGGACACTTATATACACTTACAGCTTATGTGGGGAATAGTGAGTGTAGAGGTAGCTTCATATTTCTGCATCAAGGTGGGTGAAAAACCAGCTGGAAGTTCTTCAGTAATGCAGCATTCTTATGCGTTAGTTTCCTGGGCCTCAGGTTTCATTGCCTAAAACCAGTTTTTTGCATCCCATAGGCAGACAATCAATATTGGTGATGATGGTGGTGATGATAATGGTGTAACATGTTGTTGGTTGAAGCCTCCCTGCTCCTTTGAGATTCAGTTAGACTTGACCCAGATTCCTATTCATAACCTGAGGATCTAAAGAATTTCCCTGTATTTCTAAGAGTTCCTGGAGCTTCATCCCTCAAGCTTGTCTCTCTGTCCATTTCTTGTGGCTTCCATACTCGTTGCTTTGGCTCTAACACACATCAATGTGGATGTACAGTTCAATGCCTTAACACTCCCTCTCACTTGGACCAAAGAAATCATGAGTTTAGTGACTTTACTGCAGATCTGGGGGGCTCCCTGAGATGGGTGGTCACCTCTCTGTGCAAAGCCTTCTTCCATCTAGCTGTCCTCTCCTTCCTTTCTCTCCCCCTCCCGTTTTGTGGAAAAACAGATGAACTTTCCCTCCTACATCACGTGAAAGAGGACTCCTCCCATTCAGGCCTCCCAGGATCTGAACTACCTGAGGTCAACAGAACTTTAAGTCTTCTCTAGGGATTGAACTAGGAAGTCCTCGAAAGGATTTCTGGTTGACACAATTAAACGTTTCCAGCATACTTTCTACATATGAGGCAGTGTGCTGAGAGCTTTCCAGGCATTTAACCTTTTCAATCTCCCTCCCATTCTCAGAGGTGTTATTCCTTCATTTCATTGATAGGAAAACAAGCCTCGTGAGAGCAAGATTTGGTCCAGGAGACTTCTCCATAATAGAAGAGGAACTCCAACTCTGCTCTGCCAAAGACCAAGGTTATGTTAATCACCATACTACTATACGGCTTTCTGGGGCCGAGAAACACCCTGGTGAGTTAGCAAAGGGGAATTCTTACAAGAGAATTTTCTCTCTTGTTGGTACGGGCACATTGTCTTTGTCTGAGTGTATTTGAAACAGGTGATACCTGTGTCTGTCCTCATCTCTGCTGAGTGATTGAGCCCAGGCCCATTCACTGGGAGGTAAGCTGCAGCATGGGAGGCTCCAGGGGGTTAACATCTTATTGGGTGAGATAGGAGTGGTCGGGAGAGAAGGGGCCTGGCCTGATAGTTCTGGGACGGCCCCATCTCTGTCTCAGGAGCTGATTAGGCTGGATAAGGATGGCAATGTGAGAATGCCTGCTATTATTTCTCCTCTGGTTTTAGTTCTCCCAAAAGCCAACTCTGAGATTGCCACAGCAAAGGTGCCTCTGCGGGGCTGGGTG